AAAAGACGGATGACGGATGACAGACAAACGCGACAAGGACGGGCAGATATTATGTGTTTAAATAAAATGAATCAAATCAATCGAACCTGCTGTTTTAAATATTATGCGTGACCGGAAGGCGTGATGCGTTTTTGTTGGAAAACTATTCCTCGGCAGCCATGTTTGATACGATCGTATAGTTGTGACTTGTGGTGGTGCTGCTGTTACGGCGTTATGCTACGGTCGGCGGCGGCGGCGGTGTTGCGCGCGCGAGGGCAGCACTTGTCCGGCCGGCGGTGAGTCACGCGATCTTTTCTCTTTGCGCCGGGCTCGGAGTGCTATGGCCACCCTTGCGCATTGTCGCCAACGTGACGGCCAAAACACAAACCCGCGCACCGCCGGAAACACGTATGGGACATTTTGTCGAGTAGACACTATTCACTGTTACCCCGTGTCCGGCGGCAGTACAGACTACACTCTACAGTGTATGCTAATTAGAGTACCGATCCTTTTCGTCCTCAAGTCTGTAACCACGAGGTACTGTTTCAGGTATGAATTGCTGGTAATAGGTAAAACACGGTTGATTTTAGTATAATATGCTCGATCACTGGTCGTCGTACGAGTCCAGCGAATTTAAATTCAATTTTCAGCCAACGAAATAAAGTAAAAAGTTGGTCAAAACTACTTCGATTTAGAGCACTTAAAAGAAATGATGTATTTTCAAACGCATTCATCCCCATCCCTGTGTTTAGCGGAAGAAGTTTTTTCGTTCTATAATATTTAGATTTTATCACTTAGGGTGTTTCTCAAATTACCGATTCATTTGTAAATTTTAAAATGTTATATTGTTTATATAGTTCACTGAACTAGTTTCGTTTCGCGTGGATACGAAGAACCGAGTGAGCTATATAGTTCAGTATGAACGAAAATTCCTATCTCTGATCGTTATCAGTTGCCCGCTTAATAAGGCAAAAACGGTTACAGAATTCACCACGTTAGCGTTGAAGTTATTTGTACGAATGTGAGGTTATATTCAATGGCGGGAAGTCGAAACATTTTAAATCGATACGCGAAGACCGAATAATATTCAGCATACTAAATAATATTATTTAATTTATCAATACAATCGTAGTATATATATATTTATATATACTACTACTATATATATATATATATATAATTTATTAATTTTCCTAATATATTATATAATTATAAGGTGTTACCACTGGGTGACTTCCTTAACGTTACTAATGCTATGTATATAAAATGTCAAAAAAAAAACTTATTGTAAATTTATTTTGTACAGATTGTTTTTTCTAATAAAAAAAAATATATATATATATATATATTATATAATTAAACACAGCCAACAGCCAATCTAACGTTTCTTCATTTGTAAATTACAAACATTATTATTTTTCAAAAATCAATGAAATCAAATCTAATATAAAATATATCTCATACAATATTATAGTTTATTTTTATAAAGAATATTTCAGTTGTTCATACATTATGTCACCTAGGTTTGGATGATTGTCCTGCCATACTTTGAGATATATGCCATTGACTCAAAGATCTTAAAATAACAATATAATAATTTTTCTATCTAGAGACTGAAAGAGATTTTCCCTGTCATTATTTTCTTTTTAAGGACTAAATAAGCATCTATTATAAACAAAAAAATTACACATCTCACCCTTGGTGCAAGATTGCCACAACTCAAAAAAATTTAAACAATTATAAATATAATGAATACGCATAATATATATATGTATATATTATTATTATTTGAAGTATCAATTAATCATTAATGAATATTATAGATAAGGTAATATCTATAAGTATTGCCAAATAAATTGACATACTTAGTGAAACAACAGCTAACAAAAAAATGTATAATTTGCGTGTAAACATGTCTTGAGATATGTAATTTTCTGAAAAATTGAGCAGTTTTAGCGTAGAAAGAACATTTTACAAAATTTAAGATATAGGCTTTATACAGACGTCGACTTAATACTTATGCTTTTTTTTAATACAATTTCGGCCATTAATATAAATCAAATTTGTAAAATTCAATGTTCTATGTATAAGTCTGTTATAAGTTTTCAAAGGCACCCACATTATTATCCATTTTGTATAGTAGTTTAAGATGAGAAATCTCCTCGTGATCAACCCTATAGAACACTCCCACCCATTCACTCGCAATAAAAGCGTTGCTAATATGTCTAAACGTTCCAGTTTTTGTAGATTCAATTGTTCAAGTATGAATTTGAATGGATTAAAATCCAAATTGGACATTATTGTATAACGTCACCAGATTACCGAAATAAAATACAGAAACATATCTATGGTCGCGTTGCTAGGTAGGTAATTATCTTTTGATAAACAATTTCAAACTATGGTCTATAATGATTTATTAATATTTTTAATTTAATATAATTACCATTCATTATCCCACAACGATACATCGTATTTCGTATGATTACTTGACAACAATACGGCGTATTTTTGTTTAAAACAGCTATTTTAATTATTCGTGAGTTTAAACTAAGTGTTTTCACAAAGAATTTGACTAAAAAATACCAGAAAAATGGATTCATCGAGAAAACTTGGCTTATAATTGCATAGTTCCTGAGGACCCTAAGGGTGCTGAAGGTAGGAAAGAACTACATAAATACTAATACTATCGCTAAGTCGCATGCTACAGAAGGATTGAAAAACTAAAAATGTTTTTTTTTGACATTTCAGACCTAAATGCCTGACAAAATTAGCTCTACTTAGGATGGACCAAACAAATATTTGAGTATATATTGGCCTCTTTTCAAGGTTATTTGTGGCAATAGATTTTTGACATTTCAATTAAAATATTAATTTCTATTATTAAGAGGACGTCACACGCCCTTTATTTTCTTCAAAAAACCCGCCTTGCGCGGATTAATTTTACAAAGGCTATAATCAAAACTAAGAAACCAAATTTTTACATAACATTGACAGCATTATTGTCTGTGTTCTATCATCGCCCTTTTTTTAATATTTCAACCAGTTAATGAATAATTAATTAAATAAGAAAGGACTTTTTTGACTTTTTTAAAAATGATATTGTATTAGGCATATCGAAAAAATACGGATGATGGAACACAGATCATTATTATAAATTTCTTTTTTTAACTATACATGAAGCCTGAGAAAAATTAATTCGCTCAAAGCATTCTTAAAAGGAAAAAATTGTAATTTATCCTATAGAAATGACTGTGATAGTTTGACAAAAAAAATGGCAATCAACAAAGTATCCTCATTACTGGTAATTAATAAGTATGCATTATAGTTCAAACTCTAAATTAAGATTTTTTGAAAAATTACCTATACTTTACTCCTTAGAAATGGCCGGTGTGGGGTCCTCTTAATTTAAATTTCTTAAATATTTAGTATTCAATTTTAAGTAATTAAGACAGTTATTCGAAAATTACCTGGAAATAGGCCGACGAGCTTATATGTGTGTTTACAGAATTGAAATCCAATCATTCTAAGTAAGCGTAATTTTATCAGGTTTTTTTAGGTCTAAATTTGTTTCTTATACCACCAAAATAGATTCAAATCATAGAAAAAAATGTTTACGTTAAAACATATAGCATTATGAAGCTTGTACAACAAAATTAACGTAAACAAAATTGATGTGACCGAAATTTATTAAAACTACTTTTTTCTTAAATATTGCCTATATTATAAAACTCCTTAAAACCCACTCCCTTTGTTATTTGAATTAGCTAAAAAAAATTGGAATGTAACAACCGTAGTTAAAACAATATATTTTGTTCGTCATACACGGTTAATAATATTGAGAATCACCTGGACAACAAATGAACTATAAACATTACTTTTATGTCAACTCAAACAATTTCTTACAAATGTATTTTGATTTTTGTGTTTACTGTGACTTTTCAAATAAATATAAAAGTATTATGGTTAACAAAAACGACAGAATTTTCGTAAACAGCTGCTGTCGAATAATTCCATTAGTCTACCAATTTGTATGTATGTTTATATTGTTTTTATTATCATTATTGTAGTATTTATTTAGTACCGACAAGGAAAATGCAAACATAAGCTTACACGACTATCTAATATTCTTTTTTTTAGTATTACACTATTTGCGGCTCAAAGGGATAAAATATATAAAATTAGTCCAATTAGTTCTAAATTTAGTAGCAACGTTTAAAAAAGCAATATCGGCCGGCGGCTAAGAGTAGTCATGTAATTGGTAGCTCATTTTTTATCAACCCCTCGGCCAAAATGTCAAAATCAAATGAAAGTATAATATAGTTATTTCCAGATCCGAGCAAAATTCGAAGATTAATTTCAATATGACGGACATCTAAGAAAGACGACGACACAGTGGCATTTGAAATTTATTATTTGTAATCATTTTCTACTAAATACAGATTTCGTGTTTAGACATTTTTAGTAATTTATTGCGGAAATGTGTTATATTTATCTGTTTTTAATATTATATACTATACTAAATTAACTGTTTTGTTGTAAGTTTCAAAAAACGAAATTACAATAAATTAAATTTTTTTTGTACTTGTAAATACATATAATGTTCAAACTAAATAAATTTTTTCGAAAAATTGCCTATACTTTACTCCTTAGAAATGACCGGTGTGGCGTACTCTTGATAAAAAATATTATAAGTATTGTACTTCAACTGCAATACAAGTATATGAAATTATATAAATTTAACTCATCACTCGGCAAGTATTGGAGAAGTTTTAATATTTAGATTGTGTATTTCAAAAGATAATTTCGGTTCTGTATGTCATTTATTTTATGTAGATTAATTTGACGTTTTTTCAATTAGATAAATTACGTACATAGAAAGTGATCTACTTTAACATTAAAAGAGAGGCAAAATTGATTATAAAAATTAACATCAGATTAAACTACATGATATGTGGTTTTCATACTAAGCTTAACTAAAATACGTTTTAAGCTAAAATAATAAAACCACTATTTTTAAAAAATTTTGTTTCAAATGTTTTATTTTAGTTATTAAACAGTTTAATAAAGGAAAATAGTTTTGTTTAATATAAAATATATTACTTGTATGTTAAACAATGTACAGAGGAATATTAGTATTCAATGTGTAAGTGAACGTAATACAAAAAAAACCTTATACAAAAAGTATTAATAAAATAAGTGAATGAGTTAACTGTTTGCCAATTACATTGGTCTTCCACGTCCTCGGCCAGGAGCTTGCTCATCTCCACCGCCAGATTTAGGATTCTTGACCGTTTGATCGACCGATAAAATCAAACAAGCCGCTTCTATGGCGGCAGCGAGCGCATTCTTTTTGATTATTACTGGTTCCCAAACACAATTTTCGAAATTATCTGCAACATATTCCCTGTTGATGTCCACGCCAAAAGCAAGGCCACCTTGAGCGTGCTTTTGTCGCAATTTGTTCAATATATTAGTAGCGTCAAAACCAGCATTGTCACACAGTTGTCGTGGAATTATTTCTAATGACTTGGCAATAGCGGCAACTATCAACTGTTCTTTGCCAGCTATTGACCTAGAGTAATCGCGTAGAACTTTGCTAAGCTCCATCTCAATAGCACCTCCGCCTTTAAAACAAACATGTTTTAGTAACACAAAATCACAAAGTAAATTAGCCCATTTAACTTACCAGCCACAATGGAATCATTTTTCACAGTTCTACGAACAATCATAATAGCATCGTGTAAAGATCGTTCAGTTTCATCCAATAGATGTTCACCACCGCCGCGCAATATAACCGTGCAAGCTTTGGCATTGGGACATCCAGAAAACAAGTTGAACCTGTCGCCGCCAATTTGTTTTTCTTCAAAAGATTCACATTTTCCAAGTACAGAGTCGTTCAGGTCGTAAGTAGTGGCGACGATTACTCCACCACAGGCCTTCATTGTACGTTTTAAATCTTCATCAACGACCCGACCGGCGCAAAACATATCTCTAAAATAAATAAAAACCATACAATTTAGAATAGTTAATTAAACCAGATAATACTGATTATGATTAACCTGTCGGCAAAAAATTGCGTAGCCACATCACCGATAGGCAATTTTGAAAGGACCACTTGCGCTCCACTTTTGTAAATGTGCTCAAGTTTTTCATACAGAATGTTCCACTCGGTGTCGACAACTTTTTGGAATTCCTAACAACAGCAAAAAGTCACATACAAAAAAAAGTTTAAATTAAATATTTAAAAAAAAAATTTGTTGATCATTGTTTGGAATTCCGAATAAAATTACATTTTTAGTAATAAAGTTACAGTGGTGTACCTGCAGAGAGAGTACATAATTTTCATTATGATTACACTCAGCATCACCCTTATGGTGAAATCTGATTAAAAAACTAAATTTATAAAAAATACACACCTCAACTGTGTTCACTCTAACTTCAGCATTAGACCGTTCAGCTTTTAACTCAAGCTCGATATTGAGTAAAGCGATTTTGCAATTTTTATAATGTTTAGGTTGCATTTCAAAGCCAGCATATGAAAATGTCTTCTTAAATGCTACGCCAGTAATGAGTTGTGAATCCTGTGTAAACATGTTATTAATGTAAGTAAATATATAACTTGGAATGAAAGCCGACTTTATGTGTATAATAACCTCAGCAAAAAATTGTATTACTAGTTTGTTTGAAAATAAAAAAAGAGCATTACCTGTAATCCACCGCCTTGCACTTTTTTGATACCAATCATGTTCAAAGGCATTAGTTCATCTAATAATAATACTGCTTCAACAGCAATTCTGGAGAAAAATTCTTTTTCTTGATGAATAAGTTTTGAATTAAGAGCTGTTGCAGCACATTTCTGGAGAAAGATACGATATTCTTCGTCCGTATTGAACTTCATCTAAATCATGTGTAATTATGTAACTTTTATTTTATTATTCTTTACTTATTTTTTAATTACCTTGAAGGCTATTTGATCAATTCTATCTTGGGCAATTTTCAACGCTTTGCGCAGTGCTTTTATAATAATTCTGGGATGCACTCCCTCTTCGACATAAGGTTTCACTTGTTTAAGAAACTCTCCAGCTAGTAAAACTACACTTGTAGTACCATCACCGACTTCAGCATCTTGTGATTTAGCAATATCGACCAGAGTCTTTGCTGCCGGATGGATGATATCAGAAATTTTCATAATTGTTGCGCCATCGTTAGAAATAGTCACAGTTCCGCGGCTGTCCACAATTAGTTTGTCCATACCACGTGGGCCTAAAGTTGTTCTTATGGCCTCTACGACTGCTTGGCAAGCAGTTATATTGGACAGGAGCTGTGATTTACCTTGGCTGTCTTCAGTTCCTTCTTTCAACAATAAAATAGGAGGACGCTGAAAAATAGTTAAATAGGTACTTTAAAATGAGCTAGCGATTGTAATTGTAAGCAAACATCTTTAATTTAAATAGAAAATAATGAAAAAAAAGTAGTATGTGTAAACCGCAAAACGATTAAATACATAATTATACATGCTGTAGGGAATTTGAGAAAATATTAAATGATAAGACAAATATATTATTTAAAGGAATGTTTATAGGTAGCTATTAATTATATAATCTTAAATAAAGCATCCAGCAATTCACATTATTTCAATTTGTTGAATTTTAATGAAAAGACAAAGTAAAAAATATAATTTTTATGGGTTCACACAAGATTGAATATTAGCGCAAGACATTGATGCGAAATACAAGCTCCAAACTGACGTCTTGCTACACGTTTTGGGTCTTTTAAATTAATTTTCAACCACAATTGTACAATAAATTGTAACTGACAAACAATAGTGAACTTTATGGAGAGTTTTATGATTATTTGCACTCATGTGGTGGTGAATAATGGTAATCGCCACCCTACAAGAGTAACTACACACAACAAAGTAGACGATATAATTATATGAATGAATGCGATAAAAACAAAACCAAAATACTTACCATTTTGTCGGATATTTTATTTAAACTATGATGGAATTAAACTTTATAAAGTTTTAAAGTATGAATAATTAAAAAAACAATTTCAACTTTTACTGTATTATATTGTAATTTGTATTTTTCTTACTAACCTCAAAGATTGCAGATGGCACATTATAACCAAAGAGATTGTAGATACCTAAAACACTGACTACCTATAATATGAACATTTTCATATTCTGTGACTATAAACGAGTGCGACAGTACTTATATAGTGTAGGCGAGATAGGAAAAATAACTAAGGAAGACGAGGTAACAAGCGGGACTTTTTGGAAAATAATTAAGGGGGTTCTCTAACCAACATACTCAAAATACCCCCCCCCACCATCTCTGCTAAATTTTTTAGAGGGAATTAAACACCTCCAAAATCGGTTTTTTCCAAAATTCTATAAAAATATTATACTTACCGCAAAACTTTCTTAACAAAAGTTAGTCCTCGCATAATTATCTGTAAGTTTACTAATTATACATTTATATGTAAGTGCAAATGTTAGGTCAGAAAAGCAGCCCAAGGTCCTAGTGTCTACCAGGTTGTCTATCGTGACCGAGTATACCTATCGGGCGTTATTGTTAAGTAGAATAATTTAAAAACACCTAAAAATACATAATACATAGTAATAGTCTAAGAAACGCAAGATAGTAGCTTGATAAACAGTACGAACAGTTTTACAAAAACATAAAAATATAGTAAAATATAAAAATGTAATACATAATATTAAAATCACACAGAATATAGATGTCTGTGTATTATGTTTAAAGTAGGTATCCTTCATTATTACTAAACATATTTTGTTCTTCAGTTTTTCTTTTCTAAGCAGTACCTCTAGCACCAGGCCTTTTGCATTCCAGTCATCGATATCGTATTGATGCTGGTAGGTAGATAGATATTTCTTTTTTTCTCGTCTCGATTTAAATTTTTTGTGACATAGGCGCAACGTGCTTATAATATTTTAATCAAGACGAGGAAGTAAAGGACTCCAAATTTAGCATTGTTTAAAAAATAAATTGTGCTCATAACCAAGTTAATTTATTATTTTGTAAATTTAAATTCGAAAACTTTCCATCTTTAATGACACGAACAATGTATTATACAATAATATAAGTATAACTACACTAGGCAAATAAGTTGTAAAAAAAAAGTGTATGTACTATCATAACAAGAGATTTCTTTTTACAAAATTTTGAGTTCAATGATTGCTGAACATTTGTTGTTGTTAATATTTTAACTGACCAGCAACAAGTTGACAAATGTTGCTTTCATATTTATCCCACAAACACAAACATTTTAGTAAACTTTAAACTTCACTTTACATCAACTTTACTGCTTACCGACTACTAAATTGAGTATAAATTATTTATTTATTACGTTACTACAGTTTTTTTATTATTAAAAATGTTGGTTAGAATTCACAAATATGCGTATTATAATAAAAGTAACATAATATTTGTTAGGAAAAATAATGTAAATTGTATTTCAAACTACAATTGATTGTACATCAATATTTAATTACAACAATAATCAATAATAACTACCATTATTCTTGATGTAACTTATTACCCATTAGTTCTGTGGGTTCGAAATCTTCTGCCAGTTTCTTGGCCAAAAAGTAAATTTCTGCCAACGCTATAATTAAAGCGAATATAATGCCTAATAACAGTTTAAACCCTAAATCAAATGTTGTGTTTAATATTAATTCTATGCCGAGAAATCCAAACAAAAATCCTGCAGCTGTAGATATCAGAAATTGAACAACGGCAATTAGTTGCTTGTTGATCTGTTTTACTGTAATAAATAAAAAAAAACAACAATAAAAAATTTAGTTTTATTTAATTGTGTATATTTGCTGTTATAGCGAAAAATTGTTGTTTACTCTGGAAAGCAATTGTGTCTTCAGGAAGTTTAACCCTACGGAAATCTACATTTTTCGTCATAGCGTCGTATGCTTTATTCTTTAATCGTTCCTCCAGCAACCTCATTTTTTCTCTATATTCCGGACTTGGTTCAACAACTAAAGGGCTGGGTAATATAAAGTTGTCTTCTTTGAGTAATGTATGTAGAGGTGGCCCATCAATAACTTTTATCTGCTGGCTAAACCATTTCAACGCTTCAAAATCCAATAACTTTGCAGAAAAACATTCAGAAACATGCACAGGAATATCGATTTGTGATTTTTTAATTCTTTGAAATAAATCTGACATGCTCTGATCGACTTTTATTGTTACATTATAATCCATTGTTTATTGGTTTTCGGCAACAAGTTTATTAATTGCTTCCTCGTAGTGCAATTTTATCGCTGCAACCTTTTCTTCGATATCTTTATCTATTGTTTCGTACTTAGTTTTTAAATCGGACTGAAACGTATCAAATTCTTTTTGTCGTTTATTGTGAAGTTCTTCTTTAGCACATATATCCTCTTTCTGGAAAAAAATAATAATTATAAAAAAAAACTAATAATATAGTATTTAGAATTTCCTCATTATTTTACCGATATGGTGTTATTTTCTTGATTCAAAATGTTGACACTCAAATCCAACGCCTCATTAATAATAGAATTTAATGAAGCTAAATTTTGATCACTGGATTCTAGAAAACCATCAATTTTTGTATCTTTTATATCTCCAATGAGTTCACTGACTTTTTTAAGGTTATCTTCATCAAATTTGTATTGCTTTTTCTGAAAAACAATAATCAGTTTTATTCAAATATAATAATGATTTATTATACAGGTATTATGATAAATATTAAAAATTACATCAAATTCTGAAAGAAAGTATTTGATTTCTCCTTGTAAGAACGGTCGGTGGCTGAAAAGCCTTTCCCAAATGTCACACAAGTCTAAAATCAAAATCAAAAATATAATTAAAGATCGAGTATAATACTTATGTATTTAACACGTATGTGACAAGGATATAAAACACTAAATGACTAGACGATCATACCAAGTAGATAATGGAACAGAGGTAGATAAATATTTGTGGAGAGATAGGATTTGGCTGGCCGACTCTATTTGCATGGTATAAGATTCAACACAGCCGTAACACGAATGAGAGAATATATATAATTAATGAACCAAATAATGTTATAAACACTTTTAAAAAAAATACGCTTATCGTTTTATATTATGTAATATACTTGTAAGGGCACATCAATAATACTAGAATAAAGTATTTTATAGGGTGGTTATTTGTTGTTCCCCTCCCCCACGAGTCTTGGGCATTTGGGCATAGTATATTTAGCTTTAATAAACAATCCTTAAGAAAATTGAAATGACGTCACTGGACTGAATATCATGTACCATTAAAATAATTATAATACAATTTATATATTTTTTTTTCATCAGCTTAACGGGTCTTTAAGACCTAACGCTGCCATCATGAGATGATGGTTTCAAGACGGATTCGTTGTCTAGTACGGGCCGTTAGTACATTGACAAATTGATCATTTGGCAAACAAAGCGCCCATGACCAAGCGTCAAACCGACAACAGTGAGTTAATTTAAATATAAATTTATATAAACATTCAAATTATGATACGGCTATATATACAACATATTTATAAAACAACGAGCCAATAATTATTTGTGCACCAAAATCCAAAAGTTGAATTAGTACTCACATGTTTAAAGTATTACTTAAAAAAATAGCTTTACCGAAACGACTTGATTATATCTATTTCTAAGACAATTATTTTGATTGCAAACACGCCCATTGAAACTCACCTTTAAAAACGTCAGTCATTTAGTTAGCACAAACCTACTTAAAACCAGAGCCTAAAGAAAGTTTTATAGAAATAAGATTTTCAATTGACAATGTATTCAACAATCCGAAACATTCCACTAAATTATAGTTAATGTAATATTATTTTTTAATCTTTTTTTTGACGTATGAATTTCTAGGTTTTTGAAATTAGTTGATGTTTGTTAAAATAAATACCATTTGATATTAAATGTTTTATACTGATAAGCGTTATCAAAAAAATATCGACTTTAAATCATGCAGTGTAGCCCTGCCCATGACAGTTTTTTATTATTATTTTTCATAACATCATATTATATACATTTTGTAAATGATCTACGAATAGTTATAAATTATTTTATCAGATTTTGGGATAATACGTTGGAATTCAAGGTTGATACAATAAAAGATTTAAAATCCTATACAGAGTGAAACATGTCAAAGATCAAACATCTGCCTAGTGTTAAGAGTGTCGTGGATGGGTTTTTGACAATTTTTTTCTATGAAATACCTACATCAGTTATATTATGCTGTGTTTAAATCAAGAAGGGGGAGCAGTGAAAGTGCTCTTTTACTATTACTAAACTACTCGCTACTAATGGATTGTCTATAAGGCACCCTTTGTTAAAAGAAACTTTATGATAAAATAAATATTTCGATTATTGGTGTATTAAAATGAAAAATTCTAATTAGCGCTTACAATTCTAAGAAAAAATATGTTTCACGTTCAATAATTATTAAGGCCACTTAGTTGTCAATAATTATTGCTCAAAACCTTGTGTATTCTCTTTAAATTATTATAATAATCTTCTTTAGAGATAACGGCGCTTCGATTAGATAAATATAATATAGTTATGCGGTATACCACACGCATGTTGTGATTTGTGAATAATATAAAGTGACGTTTTACTGTTTACATATGTTACAGGCTATAGTTTGTATTAACAAAGTTAATAATATATAGGACATGAATTATTGTGGCTATTTTTTTTTTATTATGTTACAACTTAAATATTATAAAATTAACAAAAGTTTTCAAAAATGGAAAATATAGCATGAACAAAATAATTTTTAAAAATCGTATTATTCAATTTATTGTCGTAAAGTTTTCAAGAAATTTTAAAATTATCTTATTGTTATCACATTTTCTTCTGTACATTTTTAGTGTGTACAATTTTAATTGTACAGTAAGCGTGATCTATTGTATTTTAATCGATTTAACATAATTATTATTTCGTTTTCTTGTAATTTTCCTTACTTATATTTTTTCCATTAATACTATACATTTTTATTTTGAAAGGAATTAATAACAATTTGGACTAAACTAAAACAACATATTATTCTCACTATGAGATACCTATAACATATTATAATGAAAAATATTATTGAAAAATCCGTTTAATTGACATTCATAGGAAGAACGGAAAAAATAATTATCTGCTACTTTTGAATCTTTAAATTACATTTAAATTTTAACTTATTGTAATGTGTAATTTTTTTCGACGATGAATTAATTAACTTGACCGACAGTAAAATACATAATTGTTACTTTGTTAACCGTGTTAGAAGTAGGTGCTTTTTTGTATCTTCATACATTATGTATTTTATTTTTTTCTAGGCTCTTTTTTTTTTGTCTGCTCTACGTTTCAGTTGTCGAAATAAAAATTTGCATAAATTGCGTTGTATGTATTATAATAATATGAATGATAAACCAGTTGTACACACGGTGTATACCATTACTGTGTCTGGCAAGCTAACACGTGCCGTCTTGCTGATAATATCGATAAAAAACCGAGAGTCAAGAGTCTATTATAACTATAGTAAATTCATTTTAACGCTTGTAATATATTTATGTATACATAATATAGTAAGCATAATAATCGTATCAGTGTGACAAAAGTTTACTGATATGCTGTTGCCGATTGCGTTTCGGTTTGCAGAAAACGTACCTACAAAAGTTGCTGTGTATAATTAAGTAATATTTTTGTTATTATGATTATTGATTATTATTATGATTATTAAACTCGACCTTTGGAACTCTTCAAGGATTATTACAATGTATAAAAAAAAAATATTATACACAATTGGAGAGTTGTGATATCGTTTGCTGCTCATAATGATTTCAAACCAGTACCAGTTGTCGGTTTGATTTCAGACTGTTGTAGAAAACGAATTCCGCTGTTAACGCAGATTTCACCGACAAATATAAGTGGTAAATAGAGAAAAAAAATGAGCGATCAAGTGGACTTAAACGCACCCCGATGGGATCAATCTCGGTATTGGGGTCGGGCCAAATACTTTTTCACCACTACTAACCCTTTGAATGTGTTTAAGTCTAACGACGAACTGGACAGATGCAAACACATCGTCGACACTTACAAGTGAGCATGACATTATAATTTATGATCGATAGTCAATATAATATTTCACTTTGCGGGGCAGAAAAGATAATCGGATCATCGACGGGCTGACGCTGAATGATCTATACAAAGCAAAAGATGTGGTCGACTCGGCCTTTCATCCGGAAACGGGCGAGAAAATGATCATTTTCGGTAGAATGTCCGCTCAAGTGCCAATGAACATGCTCATAACCGGTTGTATGCTTACATTTTACAAGTGAGGAGGCCCTATGAAATTCCTAATTTTTTTTTTTAAATACACCCGTCGTTTAAAACCACACGCGAACACGGAAGACCGATAAAATATTATTAGGAATCGGTTTTTCTTATATATTTTTTTGCTACCAACGTTAATGTTATTTTTTGTGTTAATTACTTAACAGAACTACACCGGCAGTTGTATTTTGGCAATGGGCCAACCAATCGTTCAACTCTCTAGTCAATTACACCAACCGAAGTGGTAATTCGGCAATGCCTTTAGAGTACGTTTTTTTTAACCGTAAATACATATTTTGTAAATGTTTTTAATGTCTAATATTTATTGTTTTTAAGTGAAGTGGCCAAATCATACGTGCTCGCTACGAGTGGAGCTTTGGTAACGGCTCTAGGTTTGAACAAACTCGTCAAAGTAAGTGCGTTTTAGTTTAATGTATTTATAAGTAAATTTTGAACATTATTATAGAAACGTGTTCGAACGAACAAGTTTAACCTTTGTAGTTAAATTAATTCCGGTTCAAAATTGTATAGACTTCATTCATTCGCTTTGCTATAGAAAATTGATTATCAATAAGTATTATTAACTATAATAGTAACGAATTGGAAAAAAATAAGTATGGGTGACTACAGTGGCGTCATTTGGGGGGGGGGGCAGGGGGGGCATTTGCCCCAAACTTTATTTTTATGGGCTGGTCAAATTTTCGATACGTAAGGCCGTAAATTATCTGTTTTTTTATGCAACTACCTACCTTTACTAATAATAAACCGTCTGAACTGGCTAAGTATAATAGGTATGAAGGTTTATAATATTTGTGTTATTACTATTTTGTTTCTAAGTGGTTTGGAAAAAATATTTATATTTGTAAATGACATTGGGTCGATAAAAATGTTGCCCCATTCTAAGAAAAACTGAAATGTCGCCCCTGGGTGACTACCGTAACATATTTAAATACAAAATATGGCAACCAAAATTTAGAAACCACCGAGTTAATATCAAATAGTTATCCAGCACTTGACAATTAATAATTGCAAGCGGTTGGTTTTTAAGGTGTTATCTTTTGAAAAACCTTTTCGGGTTAGTGACATTAGACCTAACAAGACTTATATACCAATGCAATCTTTACGACCTACCTGTTAGGCGTTTATGTGTGATTTGTAACTCTACTCCCCCCCCTTTCATTACTGCCCTGGCTAACTGATTATAATTATTTTAAAATTAGAGATTACCAACACTTGTCGGACGGTTTGTACCATTTGCTGCTGTTGCCGCTGCCAATTGCATCAACATTCCTCTTATGCGAAAAAAGTAAAATATGGTCTACATGTTTGCAAATATAAGTGTAATAACAACGTTTTGTTTCTGTTTTTATAAACATAGAGAATTGGACACCGGCATTGAAGTGTACGACGAAAACAAACGTTTTTTGGGAGAATCTAAGTCGGCCGCTTACCGTGGTATTGGCGCGGTCGTGTTCAGTCGCATCGTAATGGCGTCGCCGGGAATGGGTATTAATATTATAGGCTGAAGACATTTTTCGCCGTTTCTTTCATTAAGAATCCCCGCTAAACAGCGTTAATATCGGATACACTGTCAATTTGTGTTGTAGTCGTGACGCCGGTGATAATGGAAGCGATCGAACGAAAGGGACTGTTGAGGAATTTCAAATGGGCACCGGCACCGATACAAACTGTACTGTGTGGAATCATTTTGACATTGGCCACACCAATGTGCTGTGCACTTTTCCCACAAGTGTCGCCGATTTCAATTGACAAACTCGAACCGGAATTACAAGTAAATAAAAATTACCAGCTAAATACTAATATTATACATATTTGTTTTGTGTCCACAAGTATATGCAAGTACACAGGTATAATATAATATATGCATTATGCACTCAAACTCGGTTTAAGGATGTTTTAGTTTATAAATCATATAGACATTTACACGCGAAACTTAGTAAATATCACTACTAGTAGGTATGTGTAGCAATAATACCATTATTTCTGTATGGTACATTGTATTTTGAGTTCTTATCTTAGATTAATCCAAATTTTAATCACTAATCAGCGTTAAAAATAAAATTAAAAAATGAGAACTTCCAGAATTCTTCTGAATTTATAAACTATACTTGCAAGCATTGCAGCTAGTCCCTACTCCTAACTTTTATATATTTTATCGGCAAGTCATTTTCAAACACCATTCTTATCACTAGCTGAACTTTTATTAGATAACCCTAAAATCCTTATTATTGTTATTTCGCTTATCAGCTGGTTTCTTAATTATATACATTATTAACTTAAATAGAACTGTGTATAATAACAGGGAAACCGATATTTAATAAACAAATCTTGCTATATACTATTATATTCTATAATGTCTGATAAAAGTGACTTATCACTCGTTTGCCATGCATTTTCTCTACTTGTGTGATCATATTGTACCCAATGTAAATCAAATAAGTGGTACTGTATAATAATATTTTACATTAGTAATGTATAACTGAATGATCATAGCTAATAATTTAAAACTAATCGACATTTCTTATCGAAAATAACCTGGTTGTCTTATCCGTTTCTCTCGAGCATTGCGGAAGTGTAAATGTTATAAGTTCATTTAAAATACCAGTGGATAATAATTATCTAAATTCTAATTATTCGAATTCGATAACTTATATTAGGCAACGTATGAGTTATGTATGTTTTCATTAGTTTGGTTTAACATTTAAGTTTTGTTTAGCTTATACTTTTAGTCAGTAGCGTATCTTTTTTGGGAGGGGGTGTCCACGGTGTCAGGACACCCCCTGCCTAAAAAAAATGTACAGATTTGTATTAAATATACAACAAATTAATACATTTTATCTTATAATGAAACCACTTATTTAACAATACAAAGACAAATAGGTAAATAGGAAAGATAGGTAATACTGGTTAAAAATGAGACTGTTTATCAATGTCGCAAATACGGGGGGGAGGGGGGCTAGGGCGGGCTTAGCTCACCCCCCCAATGCTAGACATAGCCCCACCGAAAAAATTAGGTTATGCATAAAATTGTAAAGTACAAAAATATATTTACTTATTATATATATTTAAAAAAAATGTCCAGCCCATCCGAGTTAAAAATTGAAATTGCGCCTATGCTGTTTATGTGTCTCAAACGAACAGTTAGTCAGATTTAAAAAAAGGTTAATTTTTAATTAATAACTGCGAGGATAACTATAGTCAATTATAATGTACAAAGTTGCATGGAAGTTCAACAAATCCTAAATGGGTCAATTCAATTTGAGCGAATCGTAAAGTGTGTTAATTGTTTTGTAGAATATGATGTTATATGTAAACAAGTTGAATTTTCAAGAGCTTATAGCAACAATTGAATGTGGAGGCCCAATAAAATGTTTTTTGATATCCAAGTTAAAATTAACATCTAGTTTAGATGTCCAAGCACCTGACGTTTGTCTAGGGTTAAAAAAATTAAAAGGTCAAAAATATTTTTTTGTTGCATTAACGTCAATGCGATTACTTTTCAAAAATAAAACCAGACCAAATGAGTAAAACGTTTTGGCAACATAACATTTTTGACCTTTGATTTTTTTTGACGATGCGTGGTCTGGGTCAAGGTGCCTGAACCGGGTCATATAGGTAAATATTTCTTATTAGTATCGGTAATGATTTTTGTCAAGGAAACTATTGGCTATTTATACCAATAGCTTCCTGTTTGCCAAACCGTCTTCGATGTTACCGTGTGTACTTTGAAGTTTGAACATTATAAAATAAAATACGTATTTTTTTAATCGAATTACAATAAAAAATGTAATGGTTAAACTATTTGCACAGAATAGCGTGTATTAATATTATATTATGCAACATATTTAGAGGCAACGCATTAGCACTATGTACATTTTTTACAATATTAACTTTTAAATGGGCGATTTTCAAAATCTCTACTCCTATACACATTACGGATGAAGTAATAAATTAAAAATATGCTCCTCTCTGGTGTGTTCATTATTATCAATATTATGTACTATTAAAAAAAAAGGCAGTATGGATTATGTACATTTTTAAGTGTGAATTTATAATTTACAAAAAAATTTTAAAGTTGTTCTATGGTAAAATATCAACTATTACAATCACTATTCCGTTTGTGTTTTTAGAGAACTGCAGCGAAGTACAATTCACAAATCGGATATTACAACAAAGGGTTGTAAATTGATATGACTATACTCAGTGGCTACATGACGTGAATATTTGTTAATAGTAAGTTCAATACTTCATAATTATTCAGCTGTATTTAATACATTGAAGTATAATTATTAGACTATTAGTAAGCAACTTTGGAAGCTACTTGAACACAGAGTTTCGTTATATTATTTTATTGCTATTCATTTATTTACGATCTTAAGTCTATAATGTGTTATACTTGTTAAATATAATAATAAAAACATTATTTGTAATATTCTTATGTTTATCTTTTACTTTACCCTTTACTACTTGGGTTATTAATCACTATTATCTATACTTACTCTATAGTTAGAATTGTGTATTTATGGTAGTGTTTACTAACTATTGAAAAATTAAATTTGGTTGAAAATCGTATAGTATTTTGTATTTTAAACTCGGAACAAATTAATGTTTTCAATAAAATAATGAGCACCGCTAAACAAATTCGCTGGAAGACATTCTGCGATAAACTCACAGTTGACAGATTACAAAAAACATATATTTAATTTGATATATTAATATGTGTTCACGGATGTCTTAGGTTTCGTTACATACAATCGAAAAATGGAACACCCTATAGTAGTTTGGACGCCATTGTTCAGTCGGTATATTATAATAATATTATTCTTTAATAAAAATTAACAAATGTGTTTTTTTGTAATAGATATTTGTTTATTTAGTACAGTACAGATGTATAGTACATAATATCTGTACTGTATGCTATTTTCAACGTCGAAAACGAAAAAAATTAAACATCCATAGTAGTTCTATGTAACGCTTAAACGTGTAACTATTTACCATGTTTTGATTTAAGTTTATTATAATAATAATTGTCATGCTATAATATGTTTCATTTATAAAATCACATTAATACAAAAATTACTATTTACTATACAATTTAACTTGTCTGAAGATACACGATAGTACACATGAAGACACCGACATTAGCTAACCGCAATCGTCAACCAATGTATGTTATTCAAACTATTCAATAGATAAAGGTATACCCAATAACCAAATACTGTTGTGCTAATAAAATATCTGGTATTTAAAGATACTATTTATTATAATTCTTGTTTTAAATATTACATACGGATTGAACCCTATCGCTTGCAAACTGTAAAGTTTACTGGCCAAGTATATAGGATAGGCGTAAACAAGTGTATGAATTAATTATTATTGAAAAACGAGCTGTGAAGGTGATTGGGCGGAATATGGAAAATTCAAAACCTTCGTGCCAGTTTTTAATAATGTGATCGTCATAATATTCCAACATTGAAACGGTTTCAAGCCAAAATGTATAGTTTTGTTTTGACTATAACAATCGTTTTTCTTTTTTTATAGCATTTATTGGAAAATATAACAGCTCAACAATTACAGGTTAAAATCATTTAGGTACTATAACAAATTATTGAAAATACTAGGATATTCGGCTAGCACGTCAAAAAAAAAAAACCCAAATGTTTAAGTGGTTATTCCTTTTGAAACAATTTTTCTGAAAAAGACCCAGTGGTCTGTATTAGTTTTTATAACATTATAATTTTTACGGTTAGGTCATCAGAAAATCACTTGGACGACCATAGAAATGTTGTGTCGGTGCCTTCTACAATTACCTGGCCGACCAAAAACACACAGTTTAGCAAGAGCACATAGTTTTTTACACAATGAAATATTATGTTGTTTTAGTTAACGACACATATTGTAACATGACGGCCACCGTTAATATCGTCCGTTAACACGTTTCGATGTCGTTGGGTGAGACACGTAGACAAGTATCATTCACGTTGGTCGCGTTGCTTTTTTTTTTTAGCCGTTAGAAACCAAAAGAAAACAAATCGATAAATAACAAAAAAATAAACTGTTAAGTACAATAGTTGATAATATTGTGAGTCGGCGTTGAGAATTAATAATTGTTAGCCGCTCTCAGTTCATGTTAACGGTACCGAGCGAGTGGAAGTGGAGGAAATGGAGGACAAGCAAACGAGTAACGACTAACATTAGAAACGCGACGCTAGCATATCCGTCGCCGCGACACGGATAGCGCGCGGAAAGTCGGCACAGCGAATAGCTGGCGGTCGTAAGTGCGGCGAGACGCGAGTACAACCGCGAGAGTGGCCGTATGGCAACGGCGACACGGGCCGCCCTTCCCAAAAGTATGGTCACTGTACTGGCGCGAGGGGAGGAAGGCCGGCCGTGTGGAAAGATCGACGGGAGCCTAAGGACGTGACGAATACGTCGGTGGCGACGGGGGAACGGACAGGAAGAGAAGGGGGGTGGGTTTTGTGTGTTATTATCGAATGTGCACGAGAGGAGAAAGAAAAAAAACCATGCGGTGGCCTAGTAGATGTTGAGTCACGTCCAAAAAGTGGCGGCCGCTCGCGGTACTTTACCCCGGCCGTCGATGGATTTGCCTGGTCGTCGACGGCCGGCCCTGTTCCGTGGACGTGATCACGGGTAGGGCGGAGGGGAGTGTGGTGCTGCGTGTGTTGTTTTCGAGCGGTTTCGATCGTCCGACTCCCCGCCGCCGCCGCCTCTCTTGCATGACGGCTATTGGCGGCTACGGCGGCGGCGCTGACTCCGCGATGACGTCAGCGCGCCAAGCGGACAACGCGCACACACGGGCATCCTAGGCGAAGAAGGGGACGGAGGAACAAGTGGGGCGGTGACTAACTTAACCGTAGGCGCTCCCTGCCGTTTACTGCAGCATTCGCCGACGAGATACTCATGAGCACGCGTGTCGCGTTAATTTATATAAATCGGCTTAAATATAGTAGTGCATAAATATATATATATTTACATACATACATAGAAATATATGTATATAGTAATCGTCCGGTAAATATAATAGTAGTAATATTATTTGTTAAGATTAAAAAAAAAAAAAAAATTAGTTTGTTTAAATTTTTTGTTTTTGTTCTTTTCTGTTGTGGTGTGTTTTTCATGTGCGTTTCCGGCCGTGAATCCGCCGCCTAACCGCCCGATGGACGCGTTATAGTGATCAAGTGAGGTTTAGTTTGGTTTGGTTTCATTTTTTGAATTTGTGTACACAAATATACATAAAATAATAGTATTGTCGGTGCGATTTTTTGCTGTCGAGTGCGTTCAAATTTTAGTTTTGTTCTGTGCGCGCGTTCTACTACGTTTTTTGTGCGATGTTGGCGTAAACAACGACTGTTTCTTTAACCGTTCGGAGTCGTGTCCGTTCTGTTCGCGTCGCAACCCGCCGCCGCCGTCGCTAACCCGGTGTCTGGTGTCCGTTGGCCCGGTTGATAAGTTGTGCGCGGCCAGTGTGTTTGGGCGTGTTCCCGAATGATGAAGAGTTGGAGACATAATGGTTAGGGAGACTCGCCATCTTTGGGTCGGAAACCTGCCTGACAATATACGCGAAGACAAGATACGCGAACACTTCAAGAGGTAAGCGGCGGTTGCCGCCTTTTTTAACCCCCTCGGAAAACCTACCCCTCGACCCCCGCTCCACGGTAATGGCCGTCATTCTGTCCCAGCGTTAAGGTCGCTCGGCCGCCCAACGCCCACGTCGGATGCGGCGTACCACAAATTTGCCGCCCTCCCCCCCAGTACAATTTCTGGTATGCTTCGCAATTAGTTTTGGGAAATGTCGGGCACATCCAAGTTCGCCCCCACCCCTCCCCCAAAGTTTTTGCATGGGGAGGGTAAGGAAGATTTTGCCGCCCTGTCCCTCGTATGCCACCCACACGAGCCTGTCCGACTAGTGCAATATGTGTAACATGGGATAGATAATATTATATTGGTTTTGTATGGCGAAAGCGAAATTGTCAAATGTTTACCTGACGATAATACATGTTCATGCCTTTTGGCGTACATTAGGTATATTGGGTAAAGGTCGTTGGGAACAAACTGTCAAAATTCCGTTGAAGTGAAAATTAACAGACTAAACCATACTGTTATGGACACATTATGGCACAGCTTATGGCCGTTTGTGTGAATTCTTACTTATAAACAGGCAGACGTGTCGCGCGATTCGTTCAGAAACTTTTTAAATTTTTTTTATGTTTTTTCAAGTGTAAAGTGTAAAAAAAATGCCCCCAATAACTTTCGGTCAACAGCCGTTCAGCACGACGTACATGATGTGTGTGTGTGCATGTTTATAAAGGTTAAAACGCACAGGTGTACTTAAAATAAGTATATTTTTATAAAAAAAAAACAAATTTATATGAAAGACGTACGTAAGTTGAAGTGCCATATTATCCCATTTAAATATCTGTTAAATTGACACGTTCTAAGTAGTAAACATATTCGTTGGCTCTATTATTTGTAATCAACGTGGCTTATATTTTATTGGCTACATAATTCGAATTTCTCTACAAAATACACCTGTGCACTATGCCATATCGGTACTGTAAGGTATCCAATCCCCAAGTAGGAAGACTATGGCTTATTTTTCATTTACTTTTTGTACACTAATAAAACTAGGAGAAACTGAAACATTGTTTTTTTTCTTCACGGATTGCGGCGGAAACTATGTAATAGTATAATAATAGTAATAATTTACACACAGACACAAGCACACGTGTACACTGTATAAGTAAAGAAACGAAAGCCATCATATCTCTCTGCCACAGAAAAGTGAAAATCGTGAAAATCGAGAAAATCGATTAGATCTCCCTTGCCCACAAGAGTCGACGACCCGCAGTTTTTGCTGTGTTTGACATAAGACTGTGTGTGTGTAGTATAAACAAAAAACCTACAAAGTAGGAATAATAGTGGCTGGACGTTGTGCAAATGTGTGAGCTGTGCCATCGCCGGTACAACACAGCATTGTAAAAAAAGTTCCAGGTGACATTAAAAAGTTATTTTTAAAGTCTCTTAACCGGAAATGGTTTTCTGGAGTATGGTCTCTCAACCATATTCCAGAAGTCTCAGCGTTTTAGAGATCCCATAAATGGTATACCTCATAATATTTCAAATTATGTATCCTACATAATATTATATATAAAGTATAATATACCCATGGTACTCGATGCTATTTGACGTCCGTGGTTCGTATATCGTTGTTCGGTTTGTTAAGAATATTTTATATATAATCCAGACATACTCGCAGCAATGATAAAAATAACACGGCAATAATAATTTGGTTTTTTTTTAGCAGGTACGTCGTTTGATTAAGTTTCATAATGACAGGACAATTGGTTTTTTTCTTAAAAACGTTTTCGGGTTAATTGATGGTCGCACGTGTTCATATTATGAGCTCTTAACATCAATAATTGTAACAAACGTAAAAAATAACAATTATTGTAAATTTTGATTAAAAGTAAATAAAAGTACCAGAATTAACCAATAAAGAATCGTAATGCCTCATTTTTCTTATCGGACAGCACGCTAGTTTTAAGTAGACACTATACAAATACTATATATATATATATATATGAGTCAGTGGAGGTAATGATGTTTGTTATTTTTTTGCTATACACATTTAAAAGGCATTTCGGTGACGGTTACTGTTGGCCAAAACGCAATTTCGTCACAATAATACACTTGAACTATATTGAATTATTGATATTCCAAAAATAATGTAAATTGGGAAAATGGTATTCTGCCGCCTTTTGGACCGCCGTATGGTGGTGTCTACCTATATCTTAGGACTCGCTGTTTCGGGTATGGGCATTTTCTGTAGTGGGAATACTTAGGCGCGAAGGTTAAAAAAATTATAGCCGTCGGCATCGTTATTATTAGCAGCTTGGGTCTGTGTCGACTAACCGTAGAGAAAATAATAATAATAAATACTAGTTATGCATGAGAGGTCGAGAACAACAACAACAAAATGGGGCAGCCCCTACCACTTTTGTTTTATACGCTTGTCGTTTTATTTCCCAAAAATAATCCACCCAACGACATTTCCCTTAGGTAGTAGCTAGTCGTTTGTGCAAGGAGATGATAATTATCACTATCCCTGGCTCTTCCGCCTATTTAAATATGTCTTTGTCTTGGCGCAATACCCTGGCAGGTGATACGCCCGGTTTTGGCGTCTAAAATGTATAATAATATAATACATGGACTGTGCGGTGGTCTTTCGTAGGCAAGGAATGGTCGTGAGAGGAGGGTCCGAGGGTCGAAGGATTTGGAAAATGTATACAGGTCGGAACCGGCAGGGCCGTACCCGTCTATTGATTTCTGGACGAAGAGAGAATGCAATAAAAAAGAAAAAGAGCGCCCCCTTTTTTTTTTATTGTCGTTGGGTCTGAGTGTGTGTGTGTTTGTAATATTATGTGTTATGCCTACAGCTACTAACAGCAGCGACGCCGCCATGTTTATTGTATGTATATAATCATAAAAGGGGACACAACCCCTATTTTAGGCGAGCGTTTTCTACGTCTGTGACGTTCTAAAATAATAATAACAATAATATAAACACAATAGAATAGAATATAAAATCGGATGTAGCGTTGCCATTTTTCGGGTTTACCCTTTACCCGAAAATATAGGGACAGTGGAAGAAGAACTCTCCAAGCCTATAGTTTGCTGTAATTTTATATAAAAAAAATACAGATAACAATGTGTGCTTAATCGATATGTGCGATAATATTATGTTAAGTAAACGTTCTTTAAGTATGTATGTTTGACCCCTAAGAGGTGGGTCGATTTACTTAGCGCTGTAATTGGTTATTAATAGTATGTTTTATTCTCGTCACCATTCCTATGAGATATAAGTAATATAAACTGGTTTTACGACCTGCGTGAGACGGTTACACTCACAGTGGTCCCACTTATGGGTTAGGTAAGGTTAGGTCTGGCCGTGCTATAAAGGTTGTCGGCCGCCCCCATCGCGTCATAAGCTTTAGGAGAACGTTAAAATATTCATGTACAATTTAAAAGTTGTTTTTCTCAGTTAAAACCTTCCATAATAAAATATAGTAGAGAAGCATTAAAAAAAAAAAAAAACTACCTATAGGATCGATGGGTGTTTTTATTTATCAATAATAAATCGGTATTTTATTAGGTTATTTAACTTTTGTTTCTATTATATCCTTACACATTTGATGAGGTTTTTTGTAGAACAAAATTGAAATTATTCTAAACTCCGTTACCTCCCGATAGTTACAGTTTTATACATAAAAATGTTTTTAATTTATTTGTTTTCAATCCTATAGGCCTATATTCAATTTTTTTTAATCTCAGAACCACATTAATCAGTTGTTTATGGTTGGTCTTTAAGCTCTTAAACTAATACCCTTTTTTGAAACTAGCTCAGTTACACATACATAAAACAATATTTTTTTAGACGTCCTTATCTTTATTTTTGATTTTCAATATTTAAACAGTAGAGTTTAAATACTTTTAAAATTATAAACGACATTGCTAATGAATATTATGTTCAGGTCATTTCTTACTCTTTATTAAAAAGTTAATTTTCTACATTTAATTTTTAAATTAAATAAGATTTTTGAACTTTTTTTACTTCTTTTTTCCTAATTAGTTGTTTTATAAAATGTTATTACGAAATTAATAAGAAACTAATTAGTTAATTTAAAAAAAAACTAAATCGATATCATTCTTTAACGATTAGTCTACATAGTTTTTAAACATAATTGTTGCTAACTCATCCTTTGTCACATGTTCAATATATTTTTCCCCTTACCTATTATCTTAAGTACTTCTTATTTCATTAATAAATAGCTACCTTATGACGCCTAATTTCATTACTTCAAGCTTATGTTCAATAATGTATTCCATCAACGTCATACAGTTAGCGGCACTCATTAACGTGGACCGTACAATAAGAGCACTTGTCTAGTTCAAGAAATTTGTTTACCATTTACCAGTGACGGTTACCCTCCAAAATATTATGACTCACTTGTTTTTTCCTAAAATGTACAAAGAAAACTTTTTCACGGTCGTCGATTAAGCGTTAGGCTGATTCGAGCGATACGCTCGTGTTTTCTGGACATGGATCCGGACATTAAAAATATTATATCGTGTTGAAATTTTAACTTGATTCCACAACGTTTAAGTAAAATAGAAAAGAAAAAGGACAAGTCGCGCGTTACATTAGCTTTAATATAGAATATTTGGAAATTAACAACTAATGTGGAACGGGTATATGCGTTTTGAATTCAATAAAAAAAAAATCCTCCCCTCCCCCCAAAAAAAACACTTCTTACTGGCGGGTTCGGATTTGTATAACTGACTCGGCTAATAGTGGGTGGTGGTGGTGGATATATTACAAGCCAAGGGTAAACCGACATGCGCGTTGTTGTTTAGTGCAGTGCAAAAACTGCTCGGGTGAGCCCGCGGCGGTTGAATAAAAGCGACGACGACGGCCTTGGAAAAATATAGATAATATTGTGTTTAACTCCACAACCCCCCCGTGTTTGTACCTTATTTCTTTCCATCGTCACCACCAGTCTTCTGTAGTATTGTTATTATATTGTGTATTT